ACAGTAAACAATCTAATAAAACACAATTAACTATCAGTAAATCATTGGAGGACATTCAGGAAGTTGTTTAATTAATTTAGAGATATTGGTATTAATTAACATTCTAATAACTGGCTTCATACACTCAGACAAAAATTCAATACAGTGAGAAAAAGCAATAAAAAGGAAGATATTCCACAAAAAAGTTTGCTCCATTGACACATTTTCCCACAGAACTCTGCTTTGGTTTATTTTTCCTGGGTCTTTCTTGCTTCGACTTCCTTTAAGAGCCACTTTGATTGTGTAAAGTTAGGAGCCGATTTCTGATGTAATCCCTTAGGACACTGCATGATGGGTTCCTCAGGCCGTGTGGCTCAGCCTCAATGAATGCAGTCAGCTTTCGAGGGGATCCTGAGCTCTTCAGTGAAACTCAGCAAGTGTTTTTCTACGACCCAAACCTCTGCTTTATTCTATTTATGATCAACTCTGCGATTCAAGTCTGTGGGAATAAATAAAATAGCAATTTCTTTAATTAACAAAGTACAGCGTACTACTACTATTAACAACTAACAACTTTAATATTATTAAAATAATAATTTAAAAAATGAACAGAAAAAATAAAAGAGAACTTACAGCACTGGGTAACAGTTTGGGGTCCAGACCATAACAGGACTCAGAGTTGAGAGACTGCAGAGAATAAAAGACTCGATTACAGAAACGCAACGTGGAATTTAATTAATTTAACTCCGTCACSAAGTAATAAACAAGTTTAAAAAGTCTTAATGCTGAGAAGTGGAGATAAAAAATTCCTATTTAGACTTTTATTGCACCAAATCTGACCAAGATAAATGCAGTTTTATTCCACATGATCCTTATTTTATTTTTTTTTTTTTTTTTTTTGAAAAAACTACTGAAAAACTGTTAAATATTTGCAGGGCTCTAGACTAACTTTTTGCACTGGTCACACTGATGCACCTTACATTTTTTCTTAGGCACATCAGCACAAAAGTTAGGTGCACCCATCCAAATTTTCAACCACATTGCCTAACATCAGAGTTTTACAGGTTATTTTTTTAATCACTGTTCATTAAGGCATTATTTACTTGAAAATAATTAGTTAACAATCTAGTAAACATAAAGTTCTTTATTTGAACCAGAATTGTAGACATTTAACTTACTGAAAAGTATTTAAAGTGATAAAATTCTAAGTGCAAATGTTTAAGAGCTGAATGTCTTATAAACATGTTAAATATTTCATGGTTAAAGTTTTTTAGACACCTGCCCCTCAGATGGATAACTATGGATATTTGGCCTTGGATAAAACAGAATGATGAACAGAGAATAATGATTAATAACAGAAAAATTACTGATATGTATTAAAAGGTTGTGCACTTTTTTTTAATAATAACACATAAAAGTCTGCAATTTCATCATTAGCTGAATCTTATTATCTTATATTATTTCACTTAAATATCTAATATGTCTAGTTTTATCCTCCTGAGACCCAGAAGAACCTATTTCAGAAACTTGGAATGTAACTGTGGTGAAGTCGATTAAGTGCAAAACTGGCTTGCCCTACATGTGAGCTTCCTCGTCCTGCTGAAATGATCTGCAGCGCTCAGACCCCGACTGTTAAATTAACAAGATGGACAAGCGAGCAACCGTCCACATCTTGTTTTCATCTCCAGCTAACAAGAAATAACTGTTTTTCAGACTCCGATCTGGGTTAAATAAAATAAAAAAACTCTGGTTGTTTCGCTATTCGCGTGCATGTACAGATTTTTTGCTTAATGGTGGGTACAATTATTGACCATTTCCCCGGCACAAACAGCCTGGTGAGATTAGGGTTTGGGTCAGGTGTGTAGTGTACCTGGCAGGTTATGGTTGGCTGTAGAATTGACAGGGAAATGAATGAAGTCAATGCAAAGTCCTCATGAGGATAGAACAACAAACGTGTCTGCGTGGGAGGTGTGGAGCGGAGCTGCGAGCAGAGCGCAGTGTTATTAGGAGAGATGAGACTGTCGGAGGGCGACCACTGATACTGCTGGATTATTTTTTATGGAACATGGAAACTTTTTTTCAGCGGACGACCACTCCCCATCCCCATCGAACGATTGGTCGCACCAGTGCGACCGGACATTTTTTTTAGTCGCACTATTAGGAAATCACATTGGTCGCACTCTAGAGACCTGATTTGTCAGAGTTTGGTGATTTTTAAAAAATTTTATTCTTAAAAAAATCTATGAATGAATTATTTTGTTCTATAGGTACGAAGGGTAATTTCATTCTGACCTGGGGGGTTAAATGTCTATCCTGTGGAGCTGCGTTGGGAACAAAGTTGGTTCCTGTGGAGAAAAATAAAGTACATGTTAAAGCAAAAAACTGGTTTTGTGAGGAAAAGAAAAAAATCAACTTTATATTAGAGAAGTAATTGAGTTTAATTAACACATTGGGGTAATAGATGATAAAATGAGTATTTACTTAGAATCTTTTGAATAATTTATACAAAACGAGCTTCAGATTAAAGTTGATGAAAAGTTTGTTCTGATTCCTCTTAAGTTAATTACTATAAGCAATCACAGCTACATCCATCATGTGTTTGTAAATAAAACTACCTCCAAAGTGAACTGGTCCAAAGTTTAAACTGGGGACCACACTGCGCTGCTCTGCGATACCTTCTTGTCTGTTAGTAGGTTGTGGTCTCACTGTAGAAAATGAAACAATAAAAAAGTTGTCACCTTCTTAAAAACCATCAGTTTGGTTGAAGCCTTTACGTAAACATATAATAAGAGCTGTTACCAGAGCTCTGCTGTGGCTCCTTCTGCCTGCGCCTGACGCTGGGTTTTAATGGATCCTTGCAAAAGCCGTTTTGTCTTTGCAGAGTCGTGATTCGGTTTCTGACGTAGTCCTTCACGCCCTTCCAAGTACGGTTCCTCAGAGCGTGTGGCTCGGCCTCGAGGCAACGAACGCAGTCATCTTTCTGAGGCAGCTTGTACTCTTTAATAAAATGCATCAGGTGTTTCTCCACGGCATGAACCTCTGCCTCACTCCATTTAGGTTTGGGTTTGTGTTGTGTGCCTGTAATGAGGAGAAAAAGAAGAATAATTGAGATTGAACCACTTTATGTGATTATTTCATAAAATCAGCAGTTCATCCTTAGAAATCAAAGATTTTGTTCATGTTAATCATTTGCAACTTTACTTTGTCATGGATCCAGACATTAAAAGTTGTCTTTAGGCATAAATAGATATTTAATATTGAGACAAAAAATTGTGCGGTTTTTCCTTAAAAGTATAAATTTTTAAAGAACTCACAAGTTGCTTTGTGTTCCCTTTCATTACGAGTGATCAGCGGTGGGCAGCGCTAATTCAAATTTTAGTTGCGCACCTTCTAAAGCGCTGGTTAATTTATTTAGGTCCGCAAGTTCAAAAGCGCATATGTTCAGTAAAACTTAGCGGAAGCTAAACATTCAGCACTTTACTGCCATTTAGTGGTAAGATCATTTTCTTTGACAGATTAGCATGTCACAGTTTGGGGAGATGATTTGTCGAAACAGTAAGACTGTAAGTCAGAATGTAAAACTCTGTGAAAACAATGTTGCCTGAGGGGTCACTGTTTCCACACAGTGGAGCTCCATTGTGTTATGAAGAAACAGCTTTCCCCTCCAATGTTCAAGAAAATGATGAAGTTTTAATGAATTATGTGGCTACAAGATGTAGTGAGTTTACAAATCTCTCCCTTTATTTTAGACAATATTGACGATTGAACTTGTAACGTTATTTGCGATTAGCGCTACTCATTTCTAAATTTAGAAAGTGCAAATCTGCACATCATTTAAATAAATTAGTAAAAAACCCATATCGCAAAGGAGAAATATAGGTCTGCAATTAGCACAATTGCGCTTTAGTGGACTTGTGCCCAACACTGCTAGTGATTGTTGTGTTCCTAGCTTAAAATTTTAAATGTCAACCAAATGTATAGTTTGCTAATTATGAAATAACTACCTTTTTCTCTTGCTTTCTTAGACTTGATGGTCTCGGTGTCAGTGTTGACAACTTAGGGAATTTGTCACTAGATTTAGCAAGCTATCCCCTCAATTGCCACCCCCACCCCAAAAAAAAAAAAGCACGTAGCGACAAATCTAGCAACTTTTTCCTGTGTTCTTGGAGACTTTGGCAACAACACTTTCCAGGCATACGCGTTTTTTTTCCTCTGACACTGACTAACTAAAATAAATTTCTGGACCTGGCATTTGACTCTGTCTCTTCACCTTGTCCACTTGTGTGGCTCTGTGACGTCTAACAGTCTGTTGGTTAAATTTGATATTCTCACAAAATGTATTTATATTAATATGGATCTACATTAATGTAGTTCATTTGTAGTTCTAAAACAGATTTAGAGTGTTTTTCCTTATTTTGTCTCTTTAATGTTGATATACAGTACATCTCTCCTACAGCCTAGATCACAATTACTGGCAAATGTCTAAATATGCAAATTAGGGTACAACATCTTTTGGGACGGCCAAAAAATACTTTCCTTACCGAAGGGTTGGCAACAAGGCTCAGTGTATCTTGGTACTCCAGGGGCTTGTTGTTGAAATACATTTTCTGGTTCAAAACCTGAGGTGGAGACCACGTTGTGATACTCTGTGGCCACTTCTTTGTTAAACGGTTGCGATCTCACTATAAAAAAATTAGTAGACTTGATTTAGAAATTATCACTTTTGTTGGAACCAATATCATGTTTCTTTGAAGATGAAAACTTAAAGGTAATTCACTATAATCAGGACATTTTATCTACGGCTGTTACCAAAGATCTGCTGTGGTTCCTTCTGCTTCTGCCTGCCACTGGTTTTTGATGGAACCTTTACAAAGCCACTCTGTCTTTGCGCAGTCGTGATCCGGTTTCTGACGTAGTCCTTCACACCTTTCCATGTACGTTTCTTCAGAGCAAGTGGCTCAGCTTCGAGGCAACGAACGCAGTCGTCCTTCTGAGGTATCTTTTGATTGGTAATGAACTGCATCAGGTGTTTTTCAACAGCATGGACCTCGGTTTCATTCCATATATGCTTGGTTTTGGGCTGTGAGCCTGGGCCTGAGGAGAGGGAAGAGAGGTTTTTTTGGGGTTTCTCATTTTGTTTACTTTCATCACTGTTTTTAAAACTAACATTTAAAATTTAACAACTGATCTGTTTGTAGATGATTCAACTGTATATTCTATTGTTGAATCAACTATAAACAAAAATTCTTACCTTCAGACTGCATTTCAGTATTTACACACAGGTTGTTCTGCACCATTGACTGGATCTGATTATTAGGGCCAAAAATCTGTTGGGCCTCATTTTCATCCAGGTGAATCAGCTGTAGCATTGTGGAAAAATGTTTCCGAAGTTTCATCGACGTCAGAGCTTTGGGGTTTTTKGCTCCACATCCATTAGCGTATTTCTGGATACAGTCTGACCCYCGATAGGCAGTTGGTCCACACGTTCGTGCAAACACAAAGGGGTTGTCTCTGTGGACTCCACATTTGTCACGAACTTTTATCAGAAGCTCCATAGCCGACTCAAACGAAGGCTTTAGCAAAATGGGGACAATTCTCCCAGAGCTTCCTCTGATGTCTACTCTACTGAAGAAACCGCACAAGGTTCTTTCCAAATTTGACACAGAAACGTCCAAGTCATCGAGAACTTCTGACCTTTTTCGTAACATGAAGGCCTTTARTGTTATTGATGAGACCTCTCCAGATTTCCTCCTGTTGAAAGCAATGGTCTGAGCCAGTACTACACTGGCCAGGGCAGCGTAGGTTTCTGGACAAACGTTCTCTCTGAGATTCTTCTCAGCAAGATGATAGGCAGTCTCCATGTGGTAATACAGACATTTCACGTCTTCAGCAAATGGCACATTTTTTTCATTTTTCCTTTTAGAATTCTTCATACTCGTTAAAGCATGTGATGAAATGAGTCTCCTCCATTTCTTATCATGCAAGAAGAGAAAGGTTTTGCATGACCTCTGGACTTTGGTATCACCAGATTTAATGGCATTCTGCTGTACAATGCCACAGATCTTCTTTAGGTTGTAACCAAGCTTATAAGCCATTGATGGAAGGGTGTAGGTTTTCTTTTTTGAGTCATAACCTGCCAAAACTTTCACAGCAGACACCACATGATGGAAGTTGGAGGGGTCAAAGAAATCCTCCAGACTCTGCATGGGAGTGGACTTTTGAGCCTCTAGCACAAGTCTTGCCACATGTCGAAGGTGTTGTCTTATATATTCATGCTTTTTCATTGCTTTAACAACGCCATTAGCCATGTGCTCTCCAAACTGCAGAATTATTCGGTCTTCCATCACAGTTTCTGTCACCTCATCATATACCATCTCGCCTAGGATGTTCTTCAACTCCTCACTTAGGTCACCACAGTTTTTTGTTAGAAGTACACACTGCGATATGACTCTTTTCCTCCCATTTGATATATCTTCCCTCTTTCCTTTTAGACGACATCTTTTGACGTGGATATATATAGATTTTTTTCTATAGAGACCAAGACAGTGAACACACGGGACAAAGTCTATTGATTTTGCCATTTTTGGTGGTCTTACTTGTGCAACGAGCTGTCCCTTTCCTGTCTTTAAGACTTTCTTATTATGAGCAAAGTTTCCTTCTTTTATTAGTTTTTCCCAAACTCTTTTTCTTTCCTTGGAATTTACAGGATGCTGGAATGCAATGGCAACTTCAGCTTTGTCACTGTGTACTTGTGTGAGATGTCTTGCCATTTTGTACACAGCTTTCAAACAAAACAAACAGTAATTCTTCTTGTAAGAAGGCCCTTCTTTCTTATTTGGTTTTGAAGCCACCATGGTTTTCACGATTTTCTTCTTCTTCTTTGTTCTGCATGTCATTTTTGGATTTTGTGATTTGTCTTTCTTTTTCTTTGTGGTTCGTGTCTCATTTGTACCCGTTTTGGGGCCACTGCCACTATCATAAACCTCAGAGTCGCCAATATCCTCAGACTGACAATCTGAAAGGCTGTCATTAATGTAATCAGAATCAATGTCATCTCCTGACTCGCGACAACTTTCTTGCATTTCCTAAAAAAGAAAAAGAAAGACATCATATGAAAATCTAAAGTTCAACTTTTAGAAGTTATCTCTAATTAAATATCAAAACTTTAATCTACCTCAAACAATTCTGCAAAATATATTAATTTGGTTTGTACTTGTTAACTTTAAACCTCCTATCCTTGGTAAATCCAAATTCACAAAATAAAGATATTTTCTGATATTTTGTGCACAAATAAAATTTAGCAAAAATTTACATTTTGTACTGTCACCATCACAATAAACAGAACATTTATTTGGTAAGAGTTTACAGGAAAATTGTTTAATTTGGTTGGTTACTGAAACTGTACGACAGTCAACACATTATGAGTTAAAGTAATCATTACAAGCCATAGAAAAGAATCAACAAATTACCAGAAAAGACAAAATGGCTCTTAGAAATTTGGTGTTTTGTCAGTTACCTCATCTTCTTGCAGCTTATTTTGTTCTTCATCACTGGAATCCATCTTCAACAGGAAGGTGAAACATATTTTCATTAAGTGGTGAGTTTTGTTATTAACCATAMYTATGAAAAGTTAAWCAGAAGTTAGACCACAAGGTAAAACTTTTAACCCACCTGCCAATCACCGTCTGAAGGCAGTGACTTCAGCTTAACAGAGGAACATAAAAAGGTCAACATAAAGAAAACTGTGCAAAATTACATTAAACATTTAAATATGGCATATACTACGGTAGGTGCAAACAAAATAACCATATTACTGCTTTAAACTTACAAGTTTATCAACGTTTTCCAGTTGATTAAGTAGTTGTTCACGTAGATTTAAAATTAAGGAAAGTTTCTTCTCACTGTAAGTCTGAAAAAAGGACAAATTTGAAAACATTAGTGTGTAGTATCCAAGTATAAATCCTCAGTGTACTTTTTTTAAAGCTCTGTAAAATAATTGAAATGTCTAAATGACTCAAAAAACAAGCTATTTCCACTTCTAGACCAGTGGTTCCTAACTTTGGGGTTGTCGGTTCTCAGAGGGGGACAAGAGGCTTTAGAAGTAGAAAAAATACTCAAAATGTTTTGCAAATGACTTTTACCTGTTTCCCTGTTTTAATGGAGTTTACAGACTTTTATGTAAGTTTTCACAAGTGTTGACTCTTAAATTTCCATCCCAGAGGTAGTATAACACTTCAGATGAGATGAACTTTCAAGCTGATTTAGAATTGAAGAAAATATTTCAGAATAACAGTGAAAAAAGTTTTGTGTCATCAAAGAACAAATTGTTTGACCCAGATGAACTTATTCAGAACTACTTCTTGTTCCAATGAATAAAACAAAGAGCTCATAGCTAGCTGCTACGTGCTAATATCTCATTTCTGTACAGGTTAATCAATCGCGGTTGCTAGTATGTACAGAAAAAATATATGGAATAAACTACAATTAAAATGTTTAAAATTAGCCAATAATCTATTTTAATTTAGAAGCATCTCAATGACTTTTTGCTGATGTAAATGTGGGGATATAATGTAAAAAGTTGGAAACTTCTAAAGAAAAGCACTAGTCTGAAATAATCTAAAATCAGTGTTGTGTTTGATGGTAAAATCCTGAACAATGGAAGAATATTTACCTCCACTGACGGCTGTTTGTTGACATGAACAGCTGAAGTAGACTCACTGGAAGCTCCTGAAATAAACAAAAACAGACAACTAAGTAGACAGATAAAAGAGCGTGTAATGCATTGATTGATTATTAAGCCAACCAATACCAATCATACCTGCTTTATCTCAAACATTCAGAACATATTTTTTTCAACAAAAGAAAACAACAACTAAAATACTGAGGTTCAGTTCAAAACAAACCCAGGATGATTGAATCCTCAACGACTGATGCTAGATGACAAACAGCTGTCCGTCCGTCCGTTTTCTGACGCTTATCTGGGATCAGGTCACAGGGGCAGCAGCCTAAGCAGAGAGACCCAGACTTCCCTCTCCCCAGCCTTTTGGGCCAGCTCGTCCGGGGTAATCCCAAGGCATTCCCAGGCCAGCCGATAAACATAGTCCCTCCAGCGTGTCCTGGGTCTTCCTCTGGGCCTCTTCCCAGTGGGACATTCCCGGAACACCTCACCAGGGAGACATCCAGGAGGCATCCTAACCAGATGCCCGAGCCACCTCAACTGGCTCCTCTCGACGTGGAGGAGCAGCGGCTCTACTCAGAGTCCCTCCCGGATGACTGAGCTTCTCACCCTATCTCTAAGGGAGAGTCCAGCCACCCTGCAGAGGAAACTCATTTCAGACGCTTGTATTCGCGATCTCGTTCTTTCAGTCACTACCCAAAGTTCGTGACCAAAGATGAGGGTAGGAACGTAGACCGACCGGTAAACCGAAAGCTTTGCCTTCTGGCTCAGCTCCCGCTTCACGACAGACAGGTACAGTGCTCACATCACTGCAGACACAGTACCAATCCGCCTGTCGATCTCCCGCTCCATTCTTCCCTCATTCGTGAACAAGACCCCGATATACTTGAACTCCTCCACTTGAGGCAGGACCTGACCCGGAGATGGCATGCTACCGGTTTCTGGCAAAAGACCATGGTCTCTGATTTGGAGGCACAGATCCTCATCCCGGCCGCTTCACACTTGGCTGCGAACCACTCCAGCGAGAGCTGGAGATCAGGATCTGATGAAGCCAATAAGACCACATCATCTGCAAAAAGCAGAGATGTGATCCTAAGGTCACCTTGGCTGCGCCTAGAAATCGTGTCCATAAAAGTTATGAACAGAATTCGTGACAAAGGGCAACCTTGGCTGAGTCAAACTCTCACCGGAAACGAGTCTGCCTTACTACCGGCAAAGCGGACCAAGCTCTGGCACCGGTCATACAGGGACCTAACAGCCTTTTATTAATGGACCTGGTACTCCATACTCCCAGAGTACCCCCCACAGGAGTCCCCGAGGGACACGGTCAAACTCCTTCTCCAAGTCCACAAAACACATGTAGACTGGTTGGGCGAATTCCCATGCACTCTCCAGGACCCTGCTGAGGGTGTAGAGCTGGTCCGCTGTTCCACGACCAGGACGAAAACCACACTGCTCTTCCTGAATCCGAGATTTGACTATCCGACGGACCCTCCTCTCCAGAACCCCTGAATAGACCTTACCAGGGAGGCTCAGAAGTGTGATTCCCCTATAGTTGGAACACACTCTGTGGTCCCCCTTTTTAAATAGGGGGACCACCACCCCGGTCTGCCAATCCAGGGGAACTGCCCCCGATGTACACGCCATATTGTAGGGTCGCGTCAACCATTGCAACCCCAAAACATCCAGAGCCTTAAGGAAATCCGGGCGAATCTCATCCACCCTTGGCGCCTTGCCACCGAGGAGCTTTTTAACCACCTCGGTGACCTCAGCACCAGAGATTGAAGAGTCCGACCCAGGGTCCTCAGGCTCTGCTTCCTCATGAGAAGACGTGTCGGTAGAATTGAGGAGGTCCTCGAAATATTCCACCCACCGACCCACAACGTCCCGAGTTGAGGTCAGCAGCACACCATCCAGAACAAACAACTGTTTAAAATAAAAATACATTTTACCATTGCTACGTGAAGAAGACGGCCATTGAGGATGCTCCTGGGAAGTGGATGAGTTGTAGCTCTGAGAGGATCCATCAACACCAGTCAACTCCCCACTACGTCCTCCAAATGCAGCCTGAGACATATTCAGTCCACACGATGGAAAATTTACAGACTGATCTTGATCTGGTACGGCCTGACCGAGTAACTGAGCTGGGAAAGTTTTATAAGGGATGTTGGCTGGTAGAGGAGGGAAATGCTGGGAGCTACAAGGCTGTGGTCCTTGGTTTGGTTGGGGAAGAGGTACCGGGGACATCGTTTTTCCCCGGCTTGTTGATCCCCGCATCGATGAAGTGTGAGGGGTTTGCTGAGAAAAAGACATCAGTTGAGACGCGGCGGGGATAGAAGTGTTGTGCAAAATCAAGTTGCTCAACGTGTGAGGGGCAGTGTTCTGTCTGTTGGTGTCTGACGACATGGTGCTCAGGTTGGTCGTACAGCTCTGATTGGACCCCTGTGGGTGGTTGTACAGCGGTTGCTGATCAGACAAGTTCAGACCGAG